GATGCATGCAGTGGAAAATACAGTGGGGAGATTTGCAACTCACTTTATTAATTTACATTGTTTCAAAATTAAAACCAAGTAGGATTTATTCAAGTATGCATCTTAAATGGGTATATATATCACTGTTTAACTCCGCACTGACTATTCTGGAGGAGTCAGCCTTCTGTAAAAACTATGTGCTGTGCCCAATCCAGGCTGCTGCTGGCCCTGACATAGCAAGAGGGAAAACACTGCAAGCATTTAGCCCCTTTCTATGCAAGTGAGAATATTATACACATATGGTTATATTAACAGAGCTGCTCCAAATAGAAGGCCATGCATTTTGGAAGCAAAATGTCAGGAACATATGCTGTATATACCAATGCTATACTTGTCACCAGTATGCCATATTAGTCAGCAAGAGGATGGCATTACACCTGCACAGGCAGGAAGCCCCTCTCTATAGTTGTTTGGATGACTGGCTCACTAACGTATCTCACATGAAAAGTGTACACACTGGCATTTCTGAATCTTGTCATTTTGCTCTCCCTAAATGGGCCATCATAATCTTGAGGCTCATTTTTATGTGAGCTCTCACAGCTACCTCTTTCACCCTAATTTCCTTTCTTTGAAGAAGTCAAGCTCCAGATAGTTTGCCTCTCCCCCGGGGGATGCTGCAACAGTGGAGGTCAGCTGAAGTGCTTTCACTTTCTCCCCACTCTAAGTATAAACTAGAGGGTCTAGTTGTAGGACATTCTTGGTAAGAGGGTTTTGGTTCTGGAATCTGCTTCCTTCCCTGTAAGAGTCCTGACTCAGTCACCTTTAGGACACTCTGCAAGACCTTCCCAGGGCCAAGGAAGGTCTGCTGGAGCAAGGGAATGGTACTATGAGTGGGAGATGCTGTTTGAGATTGGGAACTCATTTTATTGAAACTGGTTTAGATAAATTATGTGTACCTCACAGGCAAATGCCTGTCTTGAAATATGGTGGTGTGAGCACCAAAGCAGTTCTGTTAATGTGTGTCATGCTGCAGCATCATGAGTGGATAAAAATATCCAATTCTTGAGTGACGGTCATTGCCACAGATAATGCTGTTGTAAGGCGCAGGGCCGGAAGATGAAGCCAGCACACTATTGGTGCTTGAGGCCTGGTGCACTTTCCTCTTCACTCTCCTCTCTCTCAACCACCTCTCTTCAGCCTCTTTGATTCCCTGGTGCAGCGCAGCCCTGCAACGTAGCCAGTTGCTAGCTGCATCTTCCATCTTTGCAGTACCAGCTTTAAAGTTTTCAAGTTCCTCTTGCAAATGCCCTTGACATTGAGCCTTGGTTGGCACAGTGGCCTTGGAGCATCCACTAGTTCTCCATACAGGAGATCCTTTGGAATGCATCCATCGTCCATCTGGTTCAGATGACCAAGCCTACAGAGACATCTGTGTTTGAGAAGAGTGATTAGACTTGGCAACTTTTCTTTCTCAGATACTTTGATGTCAGGAAATTGCGTTTCCCACTTGATATTTAAAATTAGAAAGACCGAGGGTATGGAAGATGTTTAGCCTTCTCTCCTACCTGCTGCAAGTGGTCCAGGTCTTGCCACTATACAGTAGCATGCTCACAATGCATGTGTGGTAGACCTGTATCTTGGGAATTGGTGTCAATTTCCTGTTATCCCATACATGCCTCATCAGTTGGCTGAATGTGGTAGCTATTAGCCAGGATGGGCATGGAGGGTGTCCCTCGACTCTATTTGCCAGAAGCTAGGAGTGGATGATGGGGGATGGATCCCTTGATGATTACTTGTTCTGTTCATTCCCTCTGGATCACCTGGCATTGGCCACCATCAGAAGACAGGATACCTGGCTAGATGGATCTTTTGTCTGACCCAGCATGGCGTTTCTTAAGTTTGTATGTTAGCTCCCTTTCCAATGTGAGAATTATGCTAGTCATCTAGAGATAAGGTATCCAGTACAGTTGATCAGAGATAGCAGAAGTTGTGCTACTGAAACTTCAGGGAAAGACAATACATCTTGTGCCATAATCATTGTCTTCTTTAGACTGATGGTTACTCCAAATTCATCAACAACTATCACAAAGCTACTGCAAAGTTTCTGGAGCTGCTCTCACAAGCACTGTGCTGTCAGAAAAAGAAGTTCTCTTAACAGCAAGTGTTTGACTTTACTTTTTGCTCTTAGACATGCAATGTTGAAGAGTTTTCCATCTGATCTTGCACAGAAATGTACAACTTCAGTGCTAAATGAGAAAGCCTGATGAAGCACCAGAAAGAGTACACAAAAAGAGTGCTGGTGCCAAAACACATCCCTGTTTGACACCGCTGCAGATTTTAGAGCCGTCAGATTGATCACCATTTTATTGGATTGTAGCCTTTATCATGGAAGGATTGAATCAGACTGAGGAGGACCGAGGGGCAGCCAGTTCCCTCTAGCAACTGGAAAAGTCCCTTTCTGCTGACCAGGTCAAAAGTCCGAGATCTATGAAGGCCAGGCAGAGAGGTTTTCCTTGTTCTTGACACTTTTCTTGCAATTGCCTTAATTTGAAGCCCATCTTGATAACTGATCTGTTGGCACGGAAGCTGCACTGACTCTCTATATATACACACATGTTCAGCCAGAACTTGCAGTCTTTTGAGAATGACCTGTGCAAATGCCTTGCCCACAACATTAAAGAGAGAAATTCTTCTGTAGTTGTTACAGTCACTCCAATCTCCTTTGTTTTTATACAGCATTATGATGTTGGCATCCTTCATGTCTTGTGATATCCCTCCTTTTCTCCAGCAGGCAAGCAAAACATTGTGTGATACTGAAGCACAACCTGTCGCCCTTGTTTCAGTACTTCAGCTGGAATTCCATTGTTTCCTGCCGCTTTTTCTGGTGCTAAAGAGGTGATTGCCTTTTCAAGATCATGTATAGATAGCTCTATATCAAGCTCTTCAATTTTCTGGAGCCTGGAGATTGCAGCTGGAGCCTCCCCACCTCTCCCCCGGGGCTCACAGCTGGAGTCCCCCAGCTCCAGGGTCAACAGCCAGAGCCAGAGAACAAATGTTAAATAGCAGCACTGTGAAACTATCCATTTCACTGCTGGTAGGCTCCCTGCTGTAAAATTAAGCCTGGCCAGGCTCATAGTTCAGGCTGTCAGCCCAGGCAGGGAGGGCTCCTGCTGTGAGCCCTGCACCTGGCTGACAGCTTAGGCTGTCAGCCAAAGGTGGTGGTAGGGAGCTCCCTCTGTGAGCCCACGGGGCTCTTGCTGTGAGCCCTGCTGTTGAGGCTGAGTGCCACAAGCCCTGCTGCTGCCTCCCAATGATGGATTGCAAGGGGGGCGGGGAGGGAAACCTGGACCTTATGTCAGCCTAACTCTGTAGTGTAGACCAGGCCTCAGGTGATTCCAAAGTAAGGACAGCCTAAACACTCCTGTGTGCTGTTCAGCTCACTCAGGGGTATATTGAACTCAGACATTTGGTTATATCTAAACCAGGGTAGTCAACAGGCGGCCCATGGTCCAAACCCGGACTGCCAGAGGCTTTTCAGTGGGGGGTGGGGCATGCCAGAACCCGGGGCTTCCAGCCCCACAGGAAGCATAGTGAGACTCAGGGTTTCAGCCTCACCTGGAATGCCAGGGCTTGGGGCTTCAGCCCCTCCCAGACATGCCAGAGGTTGGGGCTTCAGCTTGGAGCTTCAGCTGAAGCCTGCAGCCTGGCATCTCATGTGGGAATGAAGCCCCAAGCCCCAGTGTTCCCCGGCACACCCGGTGAAGCTCTATTTAGAGAGGGTGGGGGAATACCTGCCCTCCCTGAGCTACGAGTCAGCCCAGAGCATCTGCCAGGGCTCCATTTAGAGAGAGCAGCGGGAGGGGCACCTGCACCCTGAGTTACATGTCAGCCCAGGCGCCACCTCCCCCAATCCTGCTAGCATGCAGCCAGGTACTCCTCTACCTGCATTAGCCCCACCCGCACTAACTGCCCATGGCCCCCCAGAGTTTCATGGTCCCATCAAAAGCCTTTGGCAGCCTGGATTTGGCCTGCGGTCCACCTATTGACTACCTCTGGAATAGGCATTGGGTATATTACACAGCATCTTATGTGTTCATTGAACAGGGGCACTTGGGGTGTGAAAAATGTTCCTCTGGAGTCCAGACCTTGACCAAGAAATCTGGATCTTGACAAAAAATAATTGACTGCCCAGATCTAAATGCTAACCCACTTTTATAAAAAGAGGTGAGTAGATACACTGTAATGAATATGGATATTTGTGTAAGGATCAGCAACTCCCCATACATTTGTGTAACAAAAATATAGTTGTAAAGAGCAAATAATAAAGAGATAATATATACACATGATAGAAATGTTTAGAATTTAAACTAGCATTCTTGCAGCATTCAACCAGTGTGGACTGGTCTCCTGTTTATTTTTTTTCTTATTGATGTTTGTAAGCCCATCAGTATGTCTAAGCGTAACTATATAGGTCTCCATTTAACAGAGTTAATATCTATGTTAATCTGCATAAAGCTTTCTGCTAGATCTTCTTTACTGTACATATTCCATAACTGATTTTAAAAAATTGTTTGGAGCTGTTTAGATGTTTACATTCCTTTACAATATGCCTAAATTGTAATAAAGTAGGTTCCTCAGTGACTATGGTTTAGAAGTTCCAATATTTAACATGGTTTAGTTAATCCACTCAAAAGGCAAAACACCTTTTTGTAAAAGTGTCAGGGGAAAGTTTTCCCGTCAGACCTGTGGTATATCTAGATTGGTGTTACTGCAATACAAATAATAATTTTCTGCTTCCTGTTACATACCCAAAGCTTGCACTGACATCAGTTTTGTTCCAGAATACAGAGAAATATTGCATATTGGGATCAAATTCTATTATATGGATCAGAAAGGAAGATTTTGCATTAAAGTTCTTGCACAAGGGGAAAGCACCATATAGCCTTTGCAACAATGACAGCATTGAGCATATGTTATCTGGTTAATGAGCCAAAGGGAAGAGTGTACAATAAGCAAATGAGATGTCATATTTCCCATAATAAAGACAGTAGTGGAGGTTTACACGTAGCATTGCTCTCTTTTTTCTCCCTTCAAATGCTTCAGATTCAACTTCAAGACAGCATGGAGAATAAACAGCTGCAATTACTCTTAGGAAGGGAAACTAACCCAGCAACTGAAAACCAGTCCTTGGAGATGCTAAAAGATCTAGCATTGAAGTGGTTTATGGAGACACAGGTTCCTCTTATATTACAGAATGGTATTTTACCTGAGTGGTTCTATGGATTCATTACAAGAAAGTAAGACAGCCTATACCTTACTGTATAGCATAAAGTAGATTAAATAAATACGCTTGTCAAGTGCCTCTGTCTTCACAAATCCTCTCATATTTCAGACTAGGTTTTAGCTTACTTTGCAAAAAACCAACAAGTCACCAACCTCTGCTTACTTTAAAGTCATTGTTCTTCTAGTGAGAAGTGTTTAGCAGGATGGCATTCATATAGAGAAAGCAGGTTTTAAACCATGTCACTGTGTTTCATCACCTACATGTTGGTGTTTGGCATGTGTTCTGGAGAGGCGAGAATGCCTGAATGCAGTTTTGCATCAGCTTGTAATGTATTGTACAGTCTCTAGTCATCCAGGTATCAGTTTTAGAAATTGATTTTAACAGTCTGATAATTCATATAATTTTAATCCATCTTAATTTTTCTAACCAGAAACTTTAAAAATGAATGTTTTTGTTTGATGGTGGTATGAGAAGTGCTTTTCCAGCTGGAAATAACTGTAATGTCCATTGACTTGAACAAGTGTCTTTAGTGTGGCAATACACTGCATTTTGTGTCCCTAGGCGTCACTAGGAATTTTAGTGTACTACCTTGATAGAACTGGATACTAACTTGAAATTCATTGTAATCCACTCTTTTTCAACAGGCAGAGTGAAGAGCTGCTTAAAGACAAAGATGTTGGCTGTTTTCTTATCAGATTAAGTGACAGAACAATTGGTTACATTCTGTCATATAGGTAAGAACATGGAACATAAAGCTGCTGCCATTTGATTGGGAAATGTCACCATTTATAATTTGCTCTTCTTTTTACATACACCCTTCTTTGATTCATGAACCCTTTACACCTTTGAGTTTGCTTCCTGACCTGCTCAGGTGATTAGTTTATACCTTGAGTCATGAGGAATGAGGATCATCTCTCTTACACTTTCTAGCTAAATATCCCAAAAGAATAAAGAGGTCAGTAATCTACACAATGGCATGAAGTGTCATATTTATAGCTATTGGGAAACCAAGAAGAAATATATTACCAAAGTCTATGGTAATGATTTTATCTTTTGGATTTTTTTATTCCCTAAGAGCCCAGTCCTGAAGTTCTCACCCCATTAAATGAGTAGGGACTTCAAGACTGGGCCCTTTATTAGACTAAAAAACCAAGGCCTATTTTAAACTGATCATTCTGGTGAAGAAAGGATCATGAAACCCAATTACGAGGGAAAACTTTCATGGGCTAAAACCCACTTCATCAGATACATGGAGTGAAAAACACAGCAAGCAGAATATATATTATAGCACATGAAAAGCTGGGAGTTGCCTTACCAAGTTGGGGGGTCAGTGCTAACGAGCCAATTAATTTAAGGTGGAAGTGGCCTATTCTCAACAGTTGACAAGAAAGGCTGAATACCAAGGGAGGGAAAATTACTTGTGTAGTGCAAACGAGGCCAATGCAATCAAGGTGACCCATTTCCAGCAGTTGACAAGCAGTTGCCATCATGTGCCAACAATGCCACTCTGCCATGTACATTGGCCAAACTGGACAGTCTTTACGCAAAAGAATAAATGGACACAAATCAGACATCAAGAATTGTAACATTCAAAAACCAGCAGGAGAGTACTTCAGTCTCCCTGGACGCTCAACAACAGACTTAAAAGTGGCAATTCTTCAACAAAAAAACTTCAAAAAAAGACTCCAACGACAAACTGCAGAACTGGAATTAATTTGCAAACTGGATACCATCAAATTAGGCCTTAATAAAGACTGGGAGTGGATGGGTAACTACAAAAAGTAATTTTCCTGTCTGCTGATTCTCAGCCCTTCTTATCAACTGTTGGAAATGGGCCACCTTGATTGCATTAGCCTTGTTAGCAGTACGAAAGTAATTTTCCCTCCCTTGGTATTCACCCCTTGTCAACTGTTGAGAATAGGCCACTTCCACCTTAAATGAATTGGCTTGTTAGCATTGACCCCCCACTTGGTAAGGCAACTCCCATCTTTTCATGTGGTATAATATACATTCTGCTTAGTGTATTTTTCATGCCAAGCATCTGATGAAGTGGGTTTTAGCCCACGAAAACTTATGCCCAAATAAATTTGTTAGTCTCTAAGGTGCCACAAGGACTCCTTGTTGTTTTTGCTGATACAGACTAACACGGCTATCACTCTGAAATCAATTATCAGGAAAGGTCTGCCTATCTGATCAGTATAGGAGATGGGGAGAGGCACATGCAAAACACTTCTGCTGTCCTTTCACAGTTGTTAGATATTGTGTGTGCAGCAGCAGCAACATGACTCATTGTGGTCAAATGCAAAACTGCTTTACGGTTCAACCAGCACGTCATGGGAGTTTCTCCTCTCCTTTTCTCACACTGACACCCTACCTCAGAACTCAGACCACATCTCCTCTTCCTCATTAGACTCACCATGAATTCACACTGCTTTTCAGCTAACAGGTTGGTGCTGAACCTCATACTGCTGTTTACCAAAAGGTGTTGGTGCTTAGCTCAATAGCTGGTCACTGGTGATGATTTTTTCCTAGGTTTGCTGCTGATGCAATGGATTTTCAGTCAAGTTCATGGGATCAGATTCGGAGGTAATGTGAGATGGTGCCAGAAATCTGTCATCAGCTGCTCCTGTGGAAAAAACCAACACCACATTTTTACCTTGTAAAAAGCCTTTGAAAAAAATCTCAATTTACACATTTTCGGTAGAAATTTGTTGGAGTGTGACCACTAAATTCTTCAAATATTCTGCCTGCACTGAGCATGTTTCATCGCAGGGCTTCAGGGTCTGAGCTGGACTTTCCCTGCAACAGCCACTCCTGCCTGCCTGCAACCACAGTGGCCCCAGGCACCAGAACTGAGAGCAGGGAGACTGCCTCTCCTGGGCTCAAAATGCTCCCCTCAGTGGTGCCCAGGCAGTGAGAAGGAGACGGAGAAATAGCCTGACTGTACTGGGTTGGAGAGGAGCAGAGTGGGAGGTGGGCAGGAGCCAGGATTGGGCGTAGTGGATAGGAGCAGAGTAGGAGAGATGGCAGGAGCCAGAGGGCTGGATAGGAGTAGAAGAGGAGGAGGAGGGCAGGAGCCAAGATTTGGCATGATGGATAGGAGCAGAGGGGGAAGGAGGGCAGGAGTCAGGAGTGGGTGTGGTGGATAAGAGCAGAGGGAGACAGGGCAGGAGCTGGGATTAGGGGTGGATAGGAGCAAAGGGGAACAGAGAGAGGCTGGGGCACTGGGACAGAAGGTCTGTCCACTAAAGCACATTCCCCTCCAGGGCCTGGCATGGAGCCCATTATTCCTGGATCTCACCATTCCTCCATGGTCAGCAAGTATCTGTGAAATCCACTGCCAGAGTAAGTTTCTCATCCCTTACTAGTGGCTGGTCCACATGGAGAATAACAGCCTACTAATGCTACAAGTTACAATCTTGCTGAGGACCCAATTTGAAGTCAATATGGTTCCACATGATGGAATTTCTATTTTTTTTCCAGTTTTTTTTAAATGTAGGAAATTACATTTAAAAACTACACTAAAAGAATATTATGGATGAAAGTCAAGCATTCAAAAGTTAGGACATTCGAGAATTAAGACTGTCCATGCAACAATAGGCCAAATCCAACCCTTTCATTCAAAATCTCTTCCTTTATAGTGTTTCAAATAAAATGGAAGCTGGCTCCAAACACCCTCAGGTTTGGGTTTTGCAAACCTGAACCATGAGTGCAAACACAGAACAGTCTTCTCAGCCTGTGTGTTGTGCTTGCTATTTAAGTCTAAACTATGTATTTCAATTGCAGAGGAAAAGATCGATGTCGGCATTTCGTCATTAATCACCTACGGAACGGACATTATGTAGTATCAGGGGATACCTGTACCCATGAAAGCCTCGCAGAGCTGATAAGCTATTACCAGACTTCAGAAATCAACCCTTTTGGAGAAAATCTTACAACAGTTTGTGCTCAGGTATGTTCAACTCTTCAGAATTCACTTAGTTCCTGATGAAATGAGATCAAACGTAGTAACTATTGCCTTTTGCTCAGGCTAAATATCAGAGAATCATAGGACTGGAAGGGACCTAGAGAGGTCTTCTAGTTCAGTCCCCTGCACTCAAGGCAGGACTGAGTGTTATCTAGACTATCCCTGACAGGTGTTTGTCTAATCTGCCCTTTAAAAATTTCCAATGATGGAAATTCTACAACCTTCCTAGGCAAGTTATTCCAGTGCTTAGCTACTCTGACAATTAGGAAGTTTTTCCTAAATGTCCAACCTAAACTGCCCTTGCTGCAATTTAAGCCCATTGCTTCTTGTCCTAGCCTCAGAGGTTATTGAGAACAATTTTTCTCCCTCCTCCTTCTGAAGAATCTTTCATGGACTTGAAAACTGTTATGTCCCCCCCGTCAGTCTTCTCCTCTTCAGACTAAACAAATCCAATTTTTTCAATCTTCCTTCACAGGTCATGTTTTCCAGACCTTAATAATTTTTGTTGCTTTTCTCTGGACTTTCTCCAATTTGTCCACATTTTTTCTGAAATGTGGCATCCAGAACTGGACACAATGCTTCAGTTGAGGCCTAATCAGTGTAGAGTAGAGCAGAAGAATTTTACTTCTTATGTCTTGCTTACAACACTCCTTCTAATACATGCCAGAATTATCTTTGCTTTTTTTGCAACAGTGTCACACTGTTGACTCAAATTTAGCTTGTGATCCACTATGACCCCAGGTCCTGTTCTGCAGTACTCCATCTGAGGCAGTCATTTCCCATTTTGTACGTGTTCAACTGATTACTCCAACTAGGAAGGAACACTTTGCATTTGTCCTTACTGAATTTCATCCTATTTACTTCAGACCATTTCAACAGTTTGTCCAGACCATGCTGAATTTTAATCCTGTCCTCCAAAGCACTTGCAAACCAGACCTGATCCCTGTGGGACCCCACTTGATATGCCCTTCCAGTTTGACTGTGACCCACTGATAACTACTCTCTGGGAATGGTTTTCCAACCAATTATACATCCATCTTATAGTAGCTCAATCTAGGTTGTATTTCCCTAGTTTCTTTATGAGACGGTCATGCGAGACAGTATCAACAGCCCTACTAAAGTTAAGATATACTACATCTCCCACTTCCCGCCCACATCCACAAGGCTTGTTACCTTGTCAAAGAAAGCTACTAGGTTGGTTTGATATGATTTGTTGTTGGCGAATCCAAGCTGACTGTTATCACCTTATTATCTTCTAGATGTTTGCAAATTGATTGCTTAGCTATTTGCTGCATTATTTTTCTGGGTACTGAAGTTAAGCTGACTGGTCTGTAATTCCCTAGTTGTCCTTATTCCCCTTTTTATAGATGGACACTATATTTGCCCTCTTCCAGTCCTCTGGAATCTCTCCCATCTTCCATGAGTTTTCAAAGATAATCACTAATGGCTCAGATAGCTCCTTTCTCAGCTCAAGTATCCTATGATTTATTTCATCAGGCCCTCATGCCTTGAAGACATCTAATTTGTCTAAATAATTTTTAACTTATTTCTCTAATTTACCCTCTCATCTTACCTCATTTTCACTGGCATTTACTATGTTAGGTATCCAGTCGCTACTGTTTGTTGAAAAAAAAAAAAAAAGTCATTTAGCACTCCTGCCATTTCAACAGCTTGTTATTGCTTTTCCCCTCACTGAGTAATGGAGCTATGCTATTCTTGGTCTTCCTCTTGCTCCTAATGTATTTGTAGAATGTTTTCTTGTTACCCTTTATATCTCTAGCTAGTTTAATCTCATTTTGTGCCTTGGCCTTTCTAAATTAGTCTCTACATACTTGTATGATTTGTTTATATTCATTCTTTGCAATTTGACTTAGTTTCCACTTTTTGTGGGACTCTTTTTTGAGTTTCAGATCATTGAAGATATCCTGGTTAAGCCAGGGTAGTCTCTTGCCACACTTCCTAGCTTTCCTACACAGTGGAATTGTTTGCTCTTGTGCCCTTAATAATGAAACTCTGAAAAACTGCCAGCTCTCTTGAACTGTTTTTCCCCTTAGACTTGCTTCCCATGGGATCAACTCCCTGAGTTTGCGAAAGTCGCTTTTTTGAAATCCATTATCTTTATTGTGCTGTTTTCCCTCTTACCATTCCTTAGAATCATGAACTCTATCATTTCATGATCACTTTCACCCAAGCTGCCTTCCACTTTCAAATTCTCAACCAGTTCCTCATTTGTCAAAATCAAATCTAGAACAACCTCTCCCTAGTAGCTTTCTCCACCTTCTGAAATAAAAAATTGTCTCCAATACATTCCAAGAACTTGTTGGATAATCTGTGCCCTGCTCTGTCATTTTTCCAAAGAGATGTCTGGGTAGTTGAAATCCACCATCAACAGCAAGTCCTGGGCTTTAGATGATTTTTTTTTTTAAAACAATTAAGAGCCTCATCCACTTCTTCTTCTTCCTTGTTAGGTGAGCTGTAGTAGACCCCGACCACATCACCACCCTAGGTTTTTACCCCTTTAATCCGTACCCAGAGACTTTCAACAAGTCTGTCTCCTATTTCCATCTCAACCTCACTACAAATGTGTACACATTTTTGATATACGAGGCAACACCTCCTCCCTTTTTTCCCTGCCTGTCCTTCCTGAGCAAGCTGTACCCTTCCGTACCAATATTATCTCCCCAAGTCTCTGTGATGCCAGCTATGTCATAGTTAGGTTTATTTACTAGCATTTGTAGTTCTTCCTGCTTATTCCCCATACTTCTCGTATCAAATCTAAGGTACTGATTTGATCCCCCCCACCATTGTTTTCTCTTGTTGCCCCCATGTCTTCCCACCTATGTGCAGGAAGCAAAAAAATTGTTCTCAGCCTGGTAAGCTGTCTTAGGTATTGATGCCAAATTAGACAAGCAGATAGAACTTGAAATGTGTGAAAGAATGCATTGGACACAATATCTTCAAGGAGCAGCTGTTGTAGAAGGATGGGGCTGCACAACTCGGATTAGATCAGGGAGCTAATCATCAGGAAGAATTTCCACGGTGATTTCAGATGCCAGAACTTCACACACCCAGCCAAGAAAAATAAATGGCCTGAAGCCAGCAGTAGACCTAAATTTGCTTAGGGACCAGGCTAAGAGTCAGCTGTGCCCATTATGTATGATTGCAGTGGATGCAGATAGAATGGGTGGTATCAAGAAAATTGCCTTATTAGGTGTTGCTGGCACCGAGGTCCCAGGTATTCTTAACACCTTCCAACTCTGGCCCCTGGACAGTACTGATAGAGTGATCTGGATAGGATTTTAGCAGTATAGTTTGAAGTTTGTGTACCTAGAAAGAATGAAATATTTCTCTTCCATATGAAAGTACACTACAGACTTGAAGCTCTAGGATCAGGCCTGCAATTTTGGCCCCTTAAGATTTGAGACAGAGTGGGTGATAAGTTGCAGCAATGTAAAGGTGCATGAGCTACTACTGAGGGAATTCTGTGCCAAAAAATTAAAAGTTCTGCACCAAAAATAAAAATTGTGCTCACAATATTTTAAAATTCAAATTTTATTTGTCAATAAATAAATGTGGCTCCAGCATGGCAGTGGGGATCACAGGCCAGTGGTTGCTTTGAGGTGGGAGATCACCCTGAAGCCCCCACCTCCTGCAGTACAGGGGATTGGCAGTGAAGTCAAGGTTGCAAAGATTTTCCATAGTTATGTCTATGAAATGCCATTTATCATAAATGGATCACAAATCCCCCTTAACTCTCTCAGAGAAGGGTCTATGAGAAGCCCCACCCAGAACTGAAAGTCTGCTACTGAAGCTCCAGAAATATGACTACACTATGGAATTTACTTAGCAAGTTGTTTAATTGTAGCTGACACTTTGTCCATCACCTGGCATGAGATCCATTGAAGTCAGTCAAGCAAGTAAATCTGACAACATGGAAAAGTACTCAGGTGCCGTGCCACACATGGGAAAAGTTACAAGGTATTACAAACCACAGGATGAGAAACGACAGTCCATGCGCCATGCTGAATATTCCAGAGGGGAAAAATAGTTCATGGCCAACCACTGTATATAGTGCAGGCATGATCTCTCAATGATCGATTGTGTTCTTCTTGGAAAGGGTTTCATGATTCCATTTGTACTCAAAAAATATGAAGGCTCATTCATGAAGGTGTATAGAAATGGAAAATGCAAAAGGAGGGCATGAGAAGCAATATATTGGCCAGGAGTAAGCATAGTTGTCACTTGCATAGTAAATGACTGTGGCACATGCCAAATATACAGATCATCCCTACCTTAAAAAAATTATAGGCACATCAGCTGGAGTCTGGGATGCAGGGGATATTTTAATCCTAGAGGACAGATAATACTTAATTGGCATTGATGCCTATTCAAGCTATATAGAGGTAGCTCAGCTAAAGGAGGCTACATCAGTCCAGATGACCTTAAAGCTTAGAGTTATTTTGTTAGATCTGGGATTTCTAAATAGTGAAAACTAACCGATCTCAGTTTGCCAGCAAAGATTTTAAGGCCGTCTCAGAAGATTTGGGATTTCATCATATAACCTGCAGTCCTACATATCCTCAGCATAATGAACTGGCAGAATAGGGAATTAATTTTTTTAAGAAGCTGTTAAAGACTAGACATACAATGGAAGTTTCTCTCATTATTGTGCTAAATTACTTGGCAACACTGTTAAAAAGTAACATGCTAAATTACTGCTGGGATATCAGATCTGGTTACGGCTCAAAGAGAAACTCAAACAAACGAGAGTTAATAAAAAGGAAAACAAAGAATATCACTGGCAAAACTGCTGTATATCCAAGGATGTTTAAACCAGAAGAAATTATTAGAATTTGGACTGATGGCAGCTGAGGAGACAGGGGTGAGGTTAGACACCTGCTTGCCCCAAGATCATATTAGATTAAGTCAGAGGACACTTGCTGAAACAGACACCTGTTGCTGCTTCCAGAGATCCACTGAACAAATGACTTACCGAGTTTACATAGAAGAATGTGTCTGAACTCACCCATCACACTATCTGTAGACTTGTCTGGGGCCATGCACATCTGCACAGAAATGATGCAACAGATTGAGAACCACCATCTGGCACAGAGCCACTGGGCTCATTTACTAATGATGTTGGCTATATCAAGGCCACAACGGAAGCAGCAGCTACATCTTCAGTATAGTCAGCTGACTGGCCTGTTGCCACTTCCATAAAAAACTCACTGAACATTGCCGATTCTTTGAGGAATAGTTTGATGGAGAAAGAACAGAAGTTTATTTACTAATAAAGGCAAGGATAAATTAAGTAGCTGTTATTATGTAATCACATGGGTGTGGCTAAAGAGTTGGGGGGGGGTCAAGGCAGATGAGGCAGCTGCAGGCTTTGGTTGCTGTTGTGTTAGAGTTCTGTAATGTTTCAAGAAAAGAATGTTAAAATATAAGCACTGTTGCTTTAGTGCAGAGACCACCACAATGTCTCAATGATCAGAGGCCCATCAGGAAACATAACCAAGTCAAACTGAAATGAAAGTGGCAAAATTGTATAAACACACCTGTGTAATTTTTCCTTCTCTTTTCACCGTGGATGTTGCTGCTAATTTAGCACGGTCAAAGCCTCTTGCCCATCTAAGTCCATAGGTAGTTATCAGACATGGAGAATAGATACACTTTAGTCCCAGTTCTGCTCTCATTTTCACCAGTGTAAGTCATAAATAGCTCCACTGAAGTCAAGGGAGTTGCTAAAAATTTGCACTATCATACTTGAGAGCAGAATTTGGCCTTTTTTGGCTGTAATTTTAGATTACCTGCACATCTTATTTCTCCAGCACAAAACAAAAAGAAGAAATATCCCCCAGTGCAAATAGGTGCATCTGAGATCTAGTCTACTAGGAGTGCTATATCAGCGCAGCTGCACCAATACAGCTATGCTGCTGCACCATATCTGGTGAAGACACTCTATGCCAATGGGAGACTTCTCTCCCGTCAGCATAACTACCATGAGAGGTGGTAGCTATGTTGGCGGGAGAAGCTGTCCCGCCAACATAGCGCTGTCCACAACAGTGCTTGAATTGGTGTAATTTATGGCACACAGAGGGATGGCTTATTCACACCCTTGAGTGACCTACGTTGCACCAACATAAGTGGTAGTGTGTACAATTCTTGACACTTTGATTCTTGAAGTATCCCACCTTAACTACTGTCAGAGATAGGGTACCAGACTAGATGGACTATGGGTCTGTTCTGGTACAGCAATTTGATGTTCCTAACACTCCTTGTGGAGTATTATATAAAGCTATTTAAGAAGGTATTGCCTTATGCAGAATGAATAATTCAATATTGCTAACTGAACTTATTGATATCATTATTAAAAAGTAAAGATTTCATGCTATTGCTCTTTCAGGAAAGGCATGAACATCCCAGTTACCACCATAGTACTTATTCACATGTTTTAGTAACTACTAATTTTTTCCCCCACAGCCAATGGAGAATAGTTTATATGATGAGATCGCTTTGGATCAGCAAACCTCTTCAAAGCAAAGTAAATCAAACAGTGGCGAAGTCAATCCCTTGCTGAAAAGGCAAGCGTCTGGCAGCTCACAAACCACTGTGCTAATGAAGGAAGCCACCTCTGTACCTCCAAAGTCAAAGACAGAGCACAAGAACTTATCAGGAGAAAGAAAGAACTTTAACCCCCAGGTAGGTTTTATGCAGAATGCAAAAGTAACAGCCCGCTGTTGGGACTTGTCTGAAGCAGAAAGCAGGTATCTTGAATTAGTGTTGTTAGGGTGACCTGCTGTGCTGTGACCATGTTCCAGGAAGTGCCGTACCAGTTTGGTGGTGTTTCAGAATCAGAAATACAGATTCAGTAACATTGCCCTTGGAATTATTTTCTGCCAACATAAGAATGGTCATACTGTGTCAGACCAAAGGTCCATCTAGCCCAGTATCTGGTCTTCCGACAGTGGCCAGTGCCAGGTGCTTCAGAGGGAATGAACAGGACAGGTAATCAAGTCATCCATCCCCTGTCACCCATTCTCAGCTTCTGCCAGAGGTGACCTTACTAGACAAAGGAAATGTGATCATATTTTTGGCCACTAGTGAAGAGTGAAATTCACCCCATGCAGAGGTCCAGGTACAAGGCCTGGGCACTCAAAATAGAGTGCTAAGTGGGACTTAAGTGCATAGGCCTTGTACTGGCCTTTCATACAGTGAGGAAATTTAATCCTATAAACACATATCCCCTGTTTTTCCCAGAAGTGTCACAGGAAAGCAATAAGGAGTCCAGTGGCATCTTAAAGGCTAACAGATTTATTTGGACATAAGGTTTTGTGGGCTAGAACCTGCTTCATAGGATGCATGGAGTGAAAATTACAGATGCAGGCATTATTATACTGACACGAAGAGACGGGAGTTACCTCACAAGCGGAGAACCAGTGTTGACAGGCCAATTCGATCAGGGTGGATAGTTGACACCTCCTCATCTATTATTAGGAGTGGACTACAATCCACCCTGATCGAATTGGCCTGTCAACACTGGTTCTCCACTTGTGAGGTAACTCCCTTCTCTTCTTGTGTCAGTATAATAATGCCTGCATCTGTAATTTTCACTCCATGCATCCCATGAAGAGGGTTCTAGCCCACAAAACCTTATGCCCAAATAAGTCTTAGTCTTTAAGGTGCCACCAGACTCATTGTTTTTGTGGATACAGACTAACCCTCCTGATAGGAAAGCAGTGATGCAGAAAGATCTAATAGTGATTGTGGACAGGTTACATATTAATTTTTGCAATGTGACTTGGCATCAAAAAAGCCAGTGCAATCTTGGGCTGCATAAGCAAATGCATCAAATCAGAGCAAGGAGGTGATTGTCTCTTCTCCTGTATGACTCTGGTGATCCCTTACCTAGAGCAGGACATTTGGTTCTGTGGTTCTCCACAGTGCTCTAAGACCCATGTCTGAGCTCACCTTCTGCCAAAAAAAGGAGGTAAAGAGCTGCTGAACAGCTGCTGCTTTTCAAGGGTGAGGAACTGACTTCTGAAGACAGGCCCAAATTCCTGCTGGTTGAGATTTTCAGAGAAATACTGAAGAGAATGTAACCATACATTCTCCTTGAAAATTAATGGGCTAAGTTCCCTATGTTTCTTTGAAAATCTCAACCACTGTCTTTATTCTGAATCAGGCCAAATTCCCCATTGCTTCAATAAGAGTTCGAGTAAGGAGTTGGATCTAAGTAAGGATGTAGTAAGTGCTACAGGATTTGTAAAATACCTAAGGATTCTTTGATTTCTGTAAAGTTGCCTGGGAGTAACCACGGTCTGAATGTATCACCACCTTTTGTGGATGCATTGCATTTTACATACATTACTGACCCCTGAAAATTGTGTTCCTCTCTTTCCTACCCCCACCCCCTCATATCAGGATCCAGACATAGCCCCACCACTGCCGGATAGGATCAGCTTGCTTATGCAGGAGACATTCAAGCTAGACTTAAACGATCAAGGAAACACTATATATGCAGAGCTGAACAAACATCATCTAAAGGACAGAGGCCTTAGTTTGGAGACCCACTCTGCCACTGACAAAGTCCTCATTGAGAAACCAGCCTGTTCATCACAAGGAGACACCCAGCAAAAACCAGGAGAACCAGACCAAGCAAACTACTCTCCTTGCAAAAAAATCAGCTCGGTGTATGCTTTGGCTAAGCAAGCCGAACGTTTCTATGACAAAAAAATTGATCTTATAAAGCTATCGCCTCCAGAAACTGTTTATTCTGAAGTTAAGCTTGAGCAAGGTAAAAGCCATTCCACACTTCCTTGGGGTCAAAATGTCCATTCTCTATCACTTTGTCCATCAACTTCTGCAGACACAAAGAAGTTGACATTAAGTACTCCTGCTTCAACACCCCCTAAGTTGTCTCCTAAGTTACCTATTAAAGCTAGGACCTCTGTGGAGTCCCAAAGTTCAGAAGAGCTATTTGCACCCTATGCAACCTTCCTCCAAAGCAATGAAAGGCTTAGAAAACCAAACAAGATCCTTTGTGATTCACCTACACATAGCACATATGGGCAGATTGAGAAGGTGAAAGCTTGTAAGCCTTTTGCTTCTGGCTCTGATAGTGGGAACAATACTTATGAACAGATTCCTGTTGGACAGCCAAAGTCATCTACTCATGACCAAGCTTCTGAGAGACATTCTAAGTCTCCTCTAGTACAACTCAATGATACTTATGATGAGGTGTCTTCTTTGACCATAGGATCCTCCAGAACAGAGAAGTGTACTGAAAATACGTATGAAAAGATCCCCGAGAATCTCCAGAAAGGCTCATCTGCAAAGCAAATTCCTGCTACTGATAACACATATGAGCAAATTTCCCTAGACCTTGTGAAGGGAGCAGAAGCAAAACCAAACCAGAAGGTACAGTACAGTTAATTGACTTTAAAAATAAAACCTGAGTACCATTCAGAATCATTCAAAAGGATCAGATCCTGTTTTCCTCAGGCAAATTTCTAAAGTCCTAAACTTCTAGGCACTTAAAACATGATTTCAGTTGTTTAAAGGATACTATTCAGGACAGAAAGCTCAAAGTTATAAACATCTTTAGCTTGTTATTAGATATCAAAAGCAAGAAAAAAAGTCAGGCATCAGGATGACCAAAGATGAACATTTCTTGTAATTATAGCTTGCTGCTAAAGACAGTATTCCTAGTACAGGGCAAGATAAAGGCAGAGAAATCACCATACATCCTGAAAACAGAACTTTTTGGCAGGGAGATGCATTAGGCTGTAGAATATTCTCGAGAGAGGTAGTGGACCTTAGTTTGGACATACAAAACTACAGTGGTCAAGGCATTAACTAAACTATTGTATAAAACACAGTCAGGACTGGATGGACCAGATGGGCCTAATAGAACTTTTTCATCTCAGACATGATTCTATGGTTAAGTAGATAAAAGTACATTTAAATGTTTAACATCTGGAGGTGGTTTGTTCCAGTCACTGAATCTGTATTTGCTACTTTTCAAGTATTAATGACCGTAAATATACAGAATATTCAACTGTGCTTCAGAGACTTGGGAACTATTTCTTTCCATCTAAAAAACGTGTTCTTTTTTATTGGCAGATGGACAAGCGAAGAAGATTTTTTTTTTCTGACAAGAAGAATAAATTCTGAAGGAGGAGTTTTAAATTTGTTCCATTTAGCCTAGACTAAAGATCGTAGAAAAATATGCAGACAAATTCATCCCTTGTGTAATTTCCCCAATGGCTGTGGTAAACCAGGGACATGTTTAGCCTGTACTGTCTATAATAGCACAAATAGAGATAAATGCTGGAAAATGAATACCTGTTTGTCAAATAGTTAAAGGCCCCAGCTCATAGAAATCTGCACAACTTCAATTTTCTTTTCACTTGAGCCATGTGAATTTAGGACCAAATTCAGGCACTGACCTAGAGTCCGAAGCCCAGGAGCATGAAACATATGGTGGAAGTTGGCCACCCCATGCCAATTCTCCCCCAAGCTTGTGGGGAAGCAATCCCTCCATCACAGAGGGTTTTAAATTGGAATAGGGGAGAGACACAGATTGTGTGGATCAGCTGAAAGTTTGTATCCATCTTGCCTTGTGTGTCCCTGGTTGGGTAGAGAAACAGGGATAGCACTGTTTTGATATCTGTTTAAGGAACCAATTTAGAGCTATTCAGCTAGGAAGCCATCCTGGACCTGCAGTGCAACAACTTTATTGAACATACAAATTCATGAACAATATTGCAGACCCTGTTGTAATAAGAACTACTGGCATATATGAACTTGTGTTCCCTGTCTGTAGAAACTTGTAACCCTTATTCTTAGCCTATAAGCTCTTTAGAAGCAAGGACTGTCAGTGCTTTTGTTCTTTGCACAGTGCCTAAAACAATGGGGTCCTGGTCTTTGACTGGGGCTCCACAATTCACATCACACCCACCTTTTTATTAGGGTGGTCAAGAGATTAAATAAGTGGTATTCTATTATTGTTTAACCACATGATTAATTTTTAAATTTTTGTGGATGCTTTCTATATTTTCAATTATATTGATTTCAATTAACAACAGCGCTCACTTGGCAGCGCTCACTTTATATTTTTGATTAAAAGTGTTTGCACTGTAAAAAGACAAAAGAAATAGTATGTTTCAATTCACCCAACACAAGTACTGTAGTGCAATTGAGTGCAGTTATGGAACAAAAAAATCTACATTTTTAAGTTGCACTTTCAGGACAAAGACTGCATTACAGTACTTGGAGGTGAACTGAAAAATACTATTTTTTCTGTTTATCATTTTTACAGTGCAAGTGTAATATACACTGATTTCAATTACACCACAGAATACAAGATATATGAAAATGTAGAAAAACATCCAAAATATTTAATAAATTTCAATTGGTAGTCTCTTGTTTAACCATGTGATTAAAACTACAATTAATGTTTCAGAGTTAATCGCATGAGTTAACTACAATTAATTGACAGCCCTACTTTCTATATACAACTCTCGACAGAAGTAATTGAGTAATGCTACTAAATTATTTCAATATGGTATTTTTCCATTTTTAAAAAATCCTCAGCCTGATTCTAATCAGACATCAGTTTTACATTGGTTAAACTCCATTTGCTCAAGTTATTCCTGATTTGCAGAGATGTAAGTAAAAGCAGGATAAAGCCCTTTGAACTTGAGTTAATGTAGTTATTTTGAAATCATCACACTGAATGTTGAGGACAGAGCAATACTTTCATACTTTTTGTTTAGGACTTAGAATTAAATGCCTCAGATATGCATAACTGTAACAGTCCCACCTCACCACTGTAGCACTTCCTGCTGATCAGTCTGGGAATTAGCTCAGTCTTTTCACAGGGCACCCACCTCTGGTAGTGTCTCACCACCATCACTTCTGCTTCAGACACACATCATCTCAAGGATCACAACATTCTCTTCCATTCTCCCCCACTTCCTGGGGAACAGTAGTCTTCTGTCAAGCCACTCACCTCCATGGCCAACTGCAGCCAAGGTTCTAGCTACTTGCTAGAGTGGCAAACTGCAGCCCTTCACTGGCCACTCCTCCCAGTGGCAAGTGTGGGGGGCAGGGGGGGAAGAACTCCCTCCATGCATTTCCCTTGGCCACTTCCATATAGCCCTAGCACCTTCTCTGCCTCTGTATCAGGGCTTCAGTCTTTCCACCAGTCAAACTAAAGTGCCCTCTTGCTCCCCCCACAATTCCCTCAGCCCTTCAGGAACCCAGTCCTTTCTCCCTGGGCTCCTAAGAGGGAACTGCCCCCTCTGTCCTGCAGCTCTCTTTATATATGGGCCTGCTCTGCCCTGATTGGCTGCTCATTGCAGCCCCTCTCTGATTGGCTGTCTGCTGTGCTGCCTCTCCAGGACTGCTTTTAACCCTTTCTCCACCAGTATGGGACAGACACCGTATCACAGTAACTAAAAATAAATTATGCTGCTATTTGTAGCTTATTTGGAAATGTGCCCTCTTTCCTGCATGTATCTTTTCAAACAGAGCTATAAAGATTGAATCTTGCAAAGATCTGAACACCCCCAAAACTTTGTGAGATTCAAAATCCAGATCTAAGCTTTGTACCTTGGGCTTGTCCATCATAACAACCCATCAGAATCTTTGCCCAAAAGTAAAAGCAAAAGTTTGCATCTCTCTGAACTTCTTCATTTCAGCAGGGACTGGAGGGAGAAATATCATGAAAAGATACATCAATTCTCATCCAGTCTAGAAGCACTGGGAATCTTGCAAGAAAGCATGTTCTTGTATAATTTCTGGCCAGTCTGATGTATTGACCACATTTGTTCAAAGACATAGCAAAGCCAAACTCTCATCCCTTTCTTGATGTTTTCTCAAGCTTGCCTACAACTATTTTTTATATTTTTGAAGATATATTTTACAATCTCAAAACTCACAGCTAGAAGACTCAGAAGAGTTCAGGTTATGAGTCACTACTATGCCTTGCAGATGGCTATAAACCATAACTGAAAACAGCAAAAGGTCAGAGGTTAATTTTCATCCAACAAGAATCATTAAACTAAACAAAGCCCGGGTCTTAAATATATACGTGAATTTAATCATAAAGAGATACATACACAGTCAGCATCATCTACAGAATGCTTAAGAGTAAAGGGGATATTCAGAGAATTAAAAACAACACTAGGTGGGGGAAAAAATCCCTTGCAAGAAAAAAATGCTCTAAAAATCTTGATTAAAAATGATAACCCCAGCTGACTTTTCTTCCTGTACTTATAATGGCTTTTTAAACTGAAAAAGAGTTTAGAAATTGGCTGCCTCAGCAGCCATGGAGGTGATTAAGGGTCCTAGGTGGAGGCAGAATAAATCTGTCATGCAGAGACCAGGGAAATGTTCTTGACTCTACTCCTCAGCGGACAATGCATCATTTCCCCTCCTCAGTGTGACGGAAGATGGAGATTAATTAGAAGCCAAAGCCCCAAACACAGAAGTCACATTATTTGTAATAATGACTCGATTACAGTCTGCAGCAACAGATTAGCTAGTAATTCAGAAATTCCACTCCCTCTACATTTTCCCCAAGGTGAAGGGGATAGGGGGAAGAGAGGATTTTTTGCAATGGTTAGAGCTGAGGGACAGAGAGTCAGGATTCTGGGTTTCTAAGTGCTAACAGCCCCCTGTGAGGTGCTGAGCACCTTCAACTCCCAATGAAGGACTTTGCAAGAGCTCAGCACCTTGCAATATCAGACCCTTAATCTCACAGTCTCCATTTAGCCATCAGTTTAGTACATCACTTATACACTTTAATGCTAACAGTATTCCCACCAATTCACCTATCATAATGGCTACAAAAGTAGATATTCTTTTAGATTTCCTAACTCCAACCTCAGGGATGCAAGAGGCTGCTCCCACTGTTTTTTCATCTTTAAACCCATCAGTATATATTGGCAATGCAAAAGTGACTCCATTTACCATATGTAAACTCATAAACCAAGGGTATCGGAGCCTTCCCAAAAGTGGGGGGCTAGGGGGCCTGCCTCCCTGAGACCCCTTCCCTCCCTGAGGCCCCGCCAAGCTGGAAACCAGAGCGAGACTGGGGAGCCCACCTGGGTGAGGCTGAAAGCAGCCCCCTGCCTGTGTCCCCATCCCCCAGGGCAGGTGGAGGGACCCAGGCTCCCCACAGCTGCCCTCTTGGCTCTCCCTGACTTGGCTCCAGCTGAAGGTGGAACCTTGGAACCACAACCTGGCCATGATAAGAGCCATTGCTAGCTTTTGTGACTGTATTATGAATCTTGCCATATTTGGTATTTTTCTTAAAGCCCCAGTTCTTGTGTGTCCTCTGATGATGTAAGAATTTTTGCTTTCATTTAAAAACCTGTTTCTAGCCCCCATGATTGTAGAGAAAAGCTTGAAAATGTTAAGGCTAAAAGCTCAGAAGGGAAAAAAAGAATCCAACATTCTTTTTTTTTTTAATCTCATAATTTTTTAAAGCTAAATCTGATTCACGACCTTTGAATGTTTGAGCTTGGCCATATTGTACTAAGGAAGTGGAAAATAATATCTGAAATCTTTTTGTGTAGTAGCTGGCTGCTAACAAAATACTTGTATTCATTTAACTTGGGTTGCATATGCTGAATGGGCCAAGAATTTGTTGGAGGGGAATCATAGAATCATACAAATGTAGGGCTGCAAGGATGTCATGAGATCATCAAGTCCAGCCCCCTGCACTATTAAAGGCCTGATGTATTTTTGTAAAGTATTCTTATTAGTCATGGCTTTAAAATTGAAACTGGACAAGATGGCAGTGTTTGCTTGAACCACCTAACCTCTGAGCCAATGTTCGTTCTGCGGGGGAAAGGGTTAAGTGGATCCTGATGACTCATTGAGGCAGGTGACTCATTACCCCACTGTATATAAGGGAGGAGGAAGTGGCTGTCAGAGGAGAGAGGATTTAAAGTATAAACTGATCAGGCCTGAAATCAGAATCCTAGGAGTAGCCAAACCTAAGGAGATAGTTGAGATGAACTATGTGTTACTAATTTCTTAATAAAGTCAAGCCAGAGGAAAAATGTGGAGTTTTGACTCTATACCATGCGTGGACTTTGTTTTAGGGCAAGCTGGGAAAGACATTTGCTCACAGGGAAAATAAAAAGCTGTCAGCTGATGGAATGCAGATACCACTTGTCTTCTCAGCTCTTTGGGGCAGGGATTATCATTTTGTTCTGTGTTTGTACAATGGGGCGCCCGGTGCTGGCCTGTGACTGGAACTCCTAGGTGCTACTGCAGTACACATAATAAATCAAAATAAAATATATAAACATACAGACAATGGATCTAAGTCTCCTCTAACTTATATAACTTTTACACCAGTACCAATCCATTGAGTTCAGGGGAGTTACTCGTGGGCTACATCAGAATGATCAGAATCAGACCCAAAAGCAAATTCCCTTTGTAGCGCCTGAAAAACATAATGTGGCCCAGAAAGACAAGGATATTAATGCCAGACCTATTCCACTAACTCAATCCTCTGACTGGCTCTAAAGAAATGAGAGTAACTAATGAGTAAACCTCTAAAGCAGCAAATAAGAGGCTGAAATTCTCAAAAGGCTGGGTTTCTAGTTGGGGTGCATTTGTTGATGACAATTTCAAAATATTGTTCATTATTTTATATATTTCCTAGTGAATATTTTATCAGCACACTTTTAGTAAGTGCTCATTCTGTAATGCCAAAGGATAGGGAAATGCTGGCAAGAAGCATGCGGCCGCTATATGTACAAGATGTACTCATCTCAACCAGGGGCATGATTGTAAATGCTAGACAAGTTCACTGTAGAATGTTACAGGAAATGAGAATACAATGCATACTCAAAGAACAGTGCTCTTCATAAAAACCCCAGTGCTCATTGCTGTGGGCAGCGTACACTCAAGAAAACTCAACTGGAAAGGTGCACCAGGCACAATGAGGTTAGACAGCTCCGGTTTCAGTTTCATTTCACACACACTCAGGGCTTTATTCTGTCTTCCCTTTACCAACATTGATTAACACCTTAGTCTGCAACTGATCCAGTGAAACAAATGGGACTTCTTGTACAGAACGATGCTACTCATTGTGAGTAAAAGGGAAACATAACTGGGCCCCCAATGGGCAAAATTCAGAGGTTTTGTGTACATCTCAATAAGGTAGCTGAAATTGGTATAACTTAAAGAGAGAGCATAGTAGAAAAAGCCACTAACAGAAAATTATTAATTTAATAGCCTCCCTGCTACCAAGAAATGTATGGCTGGAGTTTGGAAAAGGCCTCGGCAACATTTCATCAGACATATCAGTCTCCAGATGGCACATGCCCGATTCAGAGTGGCCTGCGTATAGGAGCCAGAACACTGTGCTAGGCATGATGCACATTTGTTTTGTGCTGTGTGGTACTCGCAGAGCACATGAGCGCAGCTCAGCAGGAACATCTCTCTGTGCTGAGTCCTGGGCTTCAGGACCAAGTGCAATGTTCCTGGGAGAAAAGGGTGATGATTTGGTGACTCACTTGTCATAACTATTAACATTATAAACCTGAATGCCTAATGATACCAGAAATTATGGGGTTCAATAGAAAGTTTGTTATTTTCTTCTGAAGGAAGGGATGTGATTAAATCTGAGCAGGCCATAACAAAGAAGTGTGCTTTGAACAGATTGAGTGAATTCTTTCA